TGCGAGCTGAAAGGTCCCATTGTTGGGGCAGGAGATGTGCAGGTAGAAGCAAACTGAACAAGTTTGGGTTTGACTGTCCTTCTGGTTTGAAACACGTGAGCAGTGCTCGCCATGAGGCCAGGAGCCGGGGTGAGGGACAGCGTGCAGGAAGGCTGGTTTAAGGAGGTTTTAATAAATAATGGGCCTGTTCCTGGGCTCCTGCTCAGGCAGAAACTGCTGCCGGAGTCAATGAGGCACTTTGAGCTTTTCTCCTGTTAAATATCCTGAATCGTGGAGTGTTTCTTTGCTGTTCTTCCTCTACAAAGGAACTGATTGTCAGAAGTGGCTGGAGGATTTTTGTGTGTCTCTGCTATCTCCAGAAGAGCATAAGAAACAAATAGACTTGTGCTATCAAAGAACCGTAATTGCCATCTCAGACTTCCTGTTTAGGATTCAGTCAAGTAGATATTGTTTATGGATCATAAAACCTTACTACTGTGAGGATTCACAGATACTGGCAGCACCGAGTTTCAACTTTCATGGTGCTGTAAATTAGGGGGGAAAAAAAAGTGTGATAATACTCCTTGGAGAACAGTAAAATAGAGCTCTGCAATGGTTAAATGGAATTTTATAAGCACATTCAGTGTGGAACTGTTTTGCATTACATGAGTTGAATACCTTAGAGATGACACACATCTGCAGGCACTTTATTAAATCCTTAGTCAGCACTTTTCAACCTGATGAGATTACTTCTTCATTTGACTGGAGAAAGGGAAGCGAAGATCTCGTACCGGACTGCAGAATTCTTTCTGATGTTTCACCTTGAGCACTGGGGAAGGACAGAGAGATGCTCGGCAGGACAATACAGACCTGTAGTGGCACCAAAAACTGTGTGGCAGTAATTTTACTGAATGGGACCTTTAGCTCCAGTGGATTCATTTAGCACTAAACTCACTGAGAGTACTGCAAAGTAAATAGAAGGGAAATAAAATATCGTCTCTTTTATGAAAACGCATAGAGATAATATCATCCTGACCATATTGTGATAGTGCCTATGATTTAAATGGAGATTTTAAATTAAGAAAGGCAATACGTCATTCTCCGAGTGGGTGCAGTTGGATAGGTTACAGAACTGAAGGGATAAAGTGGGTAAGGTGGTTAGACATTGAGCAGAGCTCTGAAACAAGGCATAAAACACTTCAGCCATCTGAACGTAGGGATCCGGGCTTCTTTTTTCCTCCTCTAAGCCCCCTAATCATGCCAAGAAAAAGTTGACAGATCCCAACTATTGGGTCTCCTAGTGCCTAATACACTTCCTAGACGTTTTTATTTGAGGCACGGAGGTCTCTTCTCCCTCGCAGAGAAGTTTCACAGGTGCTTCAGAGGAACAATGGTGCTCTTCAGCCCTAATCCTGGAAGACTTAGACATGTATAGGAGGCTTGAGGGGGATATGAGATCTTAATATTAAAATGATTAGTAGAAAAAGGAGGATCATTCTGTGTGTGCGTTTCAGCTGTAGGATGCTCTAAATTAAACCGGTGTCCCGAGAGCGGTGCTGGTGTGATCTGCTGGGTAAATGCGCTCTCTGTCTTGCTGTTCTGCTGCCTCAGCCCATAAAACATCTCATCCAAGTGGAGTTGCAGGAGCAGGCGAAGCAGGATGCAGCTGTTGGTGAAACACTTGGAGTTTGGGTCCCGTAAAAGCAGCTTTTCAGTCAAGGCAATGCAGAGCCCTGGCACGGAAGTTTTGAAACTCCCTGTGTAGTTTGGTTTGGGTCGATCCTGTAAGGGTTAATTAAGTTTTTCATTGGTATTAAGGCCGAACGGTGTCTGCAGGAGTCATATTGACACCCTAGTGCATGGTAACTCTACTCCTTTATTGACATGTTGCTAGTCAGGAGCACAATAGCACTCTGTGTCTGCAAATCATTGCTAAAATCATCTCAAGAAAAAAAAAGTTTGAAAGCCCAACGCGAGACAAAGGCCCCAGAGCTGCACTGCGCCGCTCAAAACTCCCGAGTCAGCAACTTCTATTGATTAAAAACTAACCTTTAAAGTAACTCGCAGAGTGTGTGGTTAGCATTTAAATTTAAACATGTCATGAGTTGATTTGTGTTACTGAATACCAACTCCGAAGGAGTTACATTCACATCAGATTTTTTTTTTTCTAATTCCCTTAAGCAGCTAAAGTATTTCATGAAATGTCAATAGGGCAGGGGGGAAAAAAAGGTGTTTTGGAGGGAGGGGACTCACACCCAGCCTCGCCGTTTCTTTTCCCATGCAAATAGTCACCCCAAAAAGAAAAGTGTAGGGAGCGACACACAATAATTAGACCTTTGTCTAACTTTCCCAAGTGCCAGAGAAAGACAGATTAATTAAATATACAACAGTGTTGGTTTTTGGAGTGGGGGTCTCTCTTGCTGTGGAGGTCATAAATTAGGCAGAATAAATAGTTCAGTGTGTTGGGAGCGGGGCTCGACGTCAGCGCGGCTGGCGGCGGTGGGAGGGCGCAGCGCCGCGCTTGCGGATGGCGGTCACGTCTGGGGCTGTCTGGTTGCCCTTAGCAACGAGACATGATGTAACACCGGGATGAACTTGAACTTGGGGGACTTGAAAAGGGAACAATAGACCAGAGCAATCAATAAAGCCTATTTCAGTGAAGGATTACAGAGCCGCTCTGGGGTAACCTTGTCTGCGAGGCGCGGGGTGAATAGCGAGATGCGTGAAGGAGCGCGGGGCGGCGGGGGATGGACCGATGGACCGGCCGGGGCGGACGGACAGACGGACCGAGGGGCGGGGGGGCGGCGGAGCCCGGGCGGGCGAAAGGACCCCACCGCTGCCAGATCCGGCCCGGCGCAGCCCCACCTCCGCAACTTCTCCGCTTCTTTTTTTTTTTCTCTCCTGCCTTTTTTTTTTTTTTTTCTTTTTAATCAGCTTTTGAAGCGAGGGAGGAGTGGCGAGGGCAGCGGCTCCCGCCACCCGGCGGGCCATGTGCCGGGCCAGCGGCCATGGAGCCAGCCGGACATCGGCGCTAGGGATGGGAACCATCGCCTCGCTGTGTTCAAATCCTCCACTCCATCGCCTCGCAGTCTTTAACCCTTCCATTCCATCACCTCGCAGTGTTCAACCCTTCTACTCCATCGCCTCTCAGTCTTTAACCCCTTTACTCCATCCCCTCACAGTGTTCAACCCCTCTACTCTATCCCCTCTCAGTCTTAACCCCCCTTAACTTCATCACTTCTCAGTCTGTAACCCCACTACTCCATCACTTCACGGTTTTAACCCTTCTACTCCACCTCCTCTTAATCCTCAACCCTTCTACTCCATGCCCTCTCAGTCTTTAACCCCTCTGCTCCATTCTGGGCACTGCCACAGTTCCCAGCCTGGCCAAAAACTGTCACACTCAAACAACAAGTGTGAGGGACGACCCTGCAAAGTTTGGAGGAGTTGGCAGCTGGTGGTGATCGGAGGTGCCTCCAGCACAGCACAGCCCACACTCCACATCCCTGCACCCACCTAAAATCAGTCTAGCCCCGCAGTCAGGGAGGGGAACAGGACTTGGCTCTGCTTCACGAACCCTGCCAGAACTTTCCTGTGTTTATAAACTTTACATATGAGAACTATTTCATTTAATTGCAGCCTGAGTAAGTCTAAATATAAAATCTGTAGGCAATAGATGGAGCTGATATGGGACCGGTGTGTTTGTATTCAGAAGGGCGAGCAGAGGAAGAGTTAGTTAATGAGGTGTATTGGAAGCAGGACAACTTCTCCAATCGTGCTATTTATTTTACCAGTTCCTACCTCCATGGCAAGACCACATAATCTCCAAGTCCCACATGAAACTTGCCTCAGAGTCTTCTGTAAATGTTCATAAATCCTCCCTGAGCTGATTGTGCTATCAATCACGTCAGATGCTGAAAAGGAACGAAGGAAAAAGTTGGTAAAACTTGTCGTCGGTTTGTACGTGCACACGTACACACCTCATATATTACGGGATCCCGAGGAAAAACGTGGGGTATCAGCAACAGCTTTTTAATACCTGAGTCTTTCTTGTTGTATTACTTTACTTCAGGCTAAATAGTTGCCGCTTGTTGGTGTATTCCCACAGCAATATGTCATTGCCAAGTAGCATCCCCCAGTGCGTACAGTCCCAGGGCCTAACACTGCTCTTATTCATCCCGGGATCAGGTTGGGCTGACCTTGCTGGGGCCGAGCCGGGTCTCCCTGGTGCGGTGGCACTGCCCTGGCTCCAGCAGAGCCCACTCCAGCTTTCCAACAGTGTTTATTTTCCTATGGAGGAGCGAAATTGTTTTCTGTGCATCTGCGCCATTGGGTTAAGGACGGTATTGTTGTGGAGCTGAATTCCCAGGGAATTCCCTCCCTTTGGGAAAAAGAAAAAAAAAAGATTTTCCCAAAGACAGGCTATTAGTTGAGGCCCACGTTTTGTTTTGAAACACAAGTATGGGCAGAGATACGGGACATTTTTGCTGATCCACTTTCCCCCAGATTTGCTTTATCCTGGCTTTTCTCTAGCGATCCACATTTCTCCTAAGAAAACAGCCCTGTTGTTGAATTTCTGTGCATCTGTTCCAGCGAGACAGTTGAAGCAGGGCAGTATAAAGCAACAGATGCTTATGCTGGCACATGCCTAAATACCCAAGAAAACCCCGACTGCAGGGTGATAAATGGCACAGAGAGGCAAATGTGTATCGCCTTTTCAGGGGATTAGACAAAAGTGAACTGGAGGGATCTTCAAGCCATCATCTATTAAAAAGATTGATAACTTGTAACGTGACATGACCCCCGCGTTCATCTGTAGCTATGTCCAGCAACTGTCGGCGAGAAAAAAAAATATATTGATTTGTACAGTATTTTTAATTAAGCTTTGTAATTAGGTCAATTCGTCACGGTCTCAATTAGCCCCCCTCTTGGCGGAGGAGGCTGGCGGCAATGCCCGGAGCCCTTGGGGAAGCAGCGAGAGCGGGCGGCAGGGCTGACGCTTCTCCTTTCTCCTTTTGCAGTCCTGGTACCTGGGATAAAAGTCTCCGCTTCCCACCACCCATCGGACAGACCACCAGACCCCTTCCCACCTCTGTAACATGGAAGCAGCAGCAACGCAGCGCAGCGACTTCACATCGGCGGAAGGGGAGGCGAGCAGACACCGACAGCAAACTAGTACATGGAAATGGCAAACGTTATGGTTGAATGGCAAAGGCCGTAACTTTCTCGAGATTTTATTTTATTTTTCTTTTTTTTTTTTAGACAACTTTAGGACTGTTGTAATTTCTCATATGGTGCTGGAAATGGTTGGGCTTCATAACTTTTGAAGTGTTTCATTGGTAGTGTAAGCGTTAGGTGACACTGAGTAGAACTAGCCTCTGCTGCTGCTTACCAACTCGCTGTTGTAACACACTTTCCATATGGAGCCTAACTGTTTTACAGTATCCTCATCGGATTTTCCCATACAGGTGTGAGACTTCTTGAGAAATCATGAAACACACTTAAACTATAACTTTTGTAGTAGCTGAATTCTGCAATATATAACTTACCGGACAGACATAGAGCATGTTTTTCTGTAACATATCGGGAAAAAAAAAATGCAGGTTTTTTTTTTGTTGTTGTTGTTGTTGGGGTTTTTTTTTCTTTTTTTTTTTTTTACAGTCGGCACTTAGAAACGTAACATGAACCATAAGAGCATTGTCAACAATTTTTTTCCACTCGATTGCAGAGCGATTTAAAACATCGAACTACTACTATTCACTAAAAAAAAAAAAAGAAAAAAAAGAAAAAAGTTTGAAATGCTGCACTTACATTTAAAAAGAAAACATTTTTCAACAATTTTCAACAATTACACAAAAATTCACGCAGAAATGGGGAAGTTGGTCTGTTTTGACAGAAACTGACAGGAATCAATCAAAACAATCGAATTTTGAATTGAGTAAAGTGCAATTTCATTGGATAGCTAAATATCTTTGTAAGATAGAGATTGTTGAAAATTCTATTTTTGTTTTCCAAGTCCTTCCACCCCAGGACTCTAAATTATTGGGGTAAAAAACAGCCTTGCAAGAAAAAGGGGAGCTATTTTTGCTTTTTATGTTTTTTATTGTTGAACTTGTATCCCTTTAAAACTGAAGGAAAATTAAAAAAAAAAAAAACAAATCTAATGGTGCTTTTACCACAATATGTTAACTACATTAAATGCTAATTAATCATTTTCTGTTATCAAAGCACATAACTAAAATGAAATCATAATATCTGTTAATTTTATAAGCTAAAAGTCACTATAATGGATTATGCCAATTCTGACAAATTTTACGTGTTTCCGGCAATATAGGGTTTATCAGTTCTCAAACACCTTGGGAATAAGAGAAAACGGTCCAGAAAGTAAAACACCTTCGTGTCCCTGAACTGGTACATTTTCTGGACTGCAAAGAAAACAATACAGAAACGAATGATGCTGATCTTACAACTTATGCCAGTTCAAAGCAAGGGCACTTGCTGAAGAAGAAAAAAAACAGACAAATAAAAAAATCTAAAAAAAAAAAAAAAAAAGAAGTTTGGACCCCAAACGTCCTGTATCTTATGTACAAAAAAAAGGAAAAAAAAAGAAAAAAAAAAGAGTGCAAGTGATTTTTTCTATCAGACAGCGGAGCACCCCTTTGCTTCACATGCAACTTTAAGAAGGTTTCCTATACTATACATATATATACGTTCTGGTTGGCGAGTCCAGCTAATCAGAGAAAGTCTCTGCATGTTCTAGTGTTAGTAACTAATTTTTATATAGTTAATGTAGGGTAAAGTAGAGTGCATTAAGACACAATATTGTAATCCCTATTCCAGGCACTTGCCTTTAAACTATGTTTGTTCGACCCTTCAGAAGGGTTTCTACTACTGTCCTATACAATCAAGTAACTGAAATTCTTGGGAAGACACTTTGCTCCTCATCTTTTCCCTGAAACAATGTTTTGTTTTGTTTTCTTAATTTGCACGAAACAAAAAAAAAAAAAAATTCCATATCAATGTGCCTTGCCCTGGATAGCGATTATTTGTGGAATTGTTGCACATGTTCCTATATTGAAAGGGGTTTTTCCCTAGTCAAGCATTTGGAGACACTTTTTGTAAATGTGACTTTTATGTCAGCCATTGTCAGTTCCAACATCTAGAATTAAATAGGATGTTAGTTGTTCCGCAGATAGGAGTAGTGTTTATTGTCCTGTATGGTCAGTGGCAGTGCTATTCTGAGATCTGTAGATGCTAGATTATCAGTATTTTTGGATGTTGCTGCATTTTACCTTTTATTTGGAGTCTTCCTTTTTTGTTTTGTTTTCTCCCAGATATATGAAAATATGCAATACCTGCTTATATCATGTAGAAAAGCTTAGCAATTATTAATTTTTCTTTTAATTTTTTTTTATTTGACCAAAGTTGGTGCTGCACTTGACGCAGTGTGTTTTAGGTGTTTGTCTTTGTACTTTTGTGATTTTTGAATGCACATGCAGGAAGGGCTCTTCTTAGAGAAGCAGTCAAACTGTGAAGCACTAAGCTGAACCCTGCTTCAAGCAATTTTTGTTTTACAACTGTTCCTTTCACAAGCAAGCCTTAAAAAAAAAAAAACTTCCTTTTTCTTCAGATCCCACACCCATTTTTATTAGCAGACTGCAATCAATCCACATTCAATAAAAGTATATAATGCCCATTTTTATATGCACGTTTTTAAACTTCCAAGTTCTGAAAATTGTTTACTGGTTATTCTCTATTTAAGGAAAAAATAAAATGTTTTGGATTTTCATATGTGTCTGATAAGTGGTTGAGTAGTCATTTTGCTCTATTGTATTGTGTGATTGTTAGTATATGGTATCACATCCTCTAGCCAGCATCCTTTGCCTTCCCTATAGCACTTAGCTGGGCATTACTTTATTAAGACATATGTGCACTAAAAAAAAAAAAATAGCAGCTTTCAGTGCTTCACAGTGAAGGGAAAAAAGCCTAGACAAACATTTTGTCAGAACCTTGCTATGAGACAAGGTATTACCAGTAAATTGGTTGTATATACAATAAAATTGCACCCTTTTTTAAACAAAACAAACTAAGCAATAGTTTGGGCAGTTAGTTGTTTTTAGTGAGCATGTTGTAGTCATGGCTGCAAAGAGAGAGAATTAAACTGCCCACTCAGAAGATATGTAATTTGTATGTTGTATAGTTTTATTGATTACACTGATTTATTCTACCCTATTTTATAATGCAGGACTTTTGTAATGTTGTTTAAATGAGGAAAAATTTCTGTCAAATTAGCTTAGTGGAATTTCTGATTGTTCGTTATAAAGGCAGCGTTCATAGAATTGCTTTTTTTTTTTCCTTTGGGAACTGGATTTAAGTTAAAAACTTTCCTGTTTCCTTTTTTTGTATGTATTTAAATACAGTTATTTTTCTTCTCTCAATGGTATAGCATATTCCTATGCTTGAGAAGTATAGGCTACTGAAGAACCATTGTAAATGGACATTACAGGTATGCTGTATTTTTGAAGGTATTTTTGTCATATTAAGTTTGATGACGCTAAAGTTAGGGAACTCTGAGCAGAATTGCGAGAAAAAAAATGTTTTAAAGGCTTTAAAACATTAGGTAGGAGGTCAAGGGTGTTAACCAACAGGGGTTGTAAAGTATTACACACTAAATTCAGTTTGCGTTCACCTTCCTCTCACGCAGGAAACGCGGCAGTTCCGTTCTGTGCAGGTGTAGAGAATAAACAGTGTTTTAGTCCTCCGAGGAGTGGGGAGGCAAGCAGGGATGGGGCAGGAGGGATGGAGCATCCATCCACCATCCATCCATCCCTCCATCCCCTGGGGGTGCGAGAGGGAGCGGGGCCAGCGGCTGGAGCCCCCTGAAGGGTCACAGCCCCGCTCCCGCTCCGGCTGCTCTTTTTGAGTCACAAGAACAACTTTTTTCCTCCCCACCTCCTCTCCAGAACCGTCAGACGCACAAATACTCTGACCTGTACCCACCCCCCGCCCATCCAAATTTAAAGCCCTAGGGATGGCTTAGCGCGAATTGACTTTTACTCAAGTTAATTCCTTTGTTTTTCCCTCTTTTTTTGTTTTGTTTTTTTTTTTTTGAGCAAGGGCACTTGCTTTTCTCATGCCGCACACCCCAGCAATGCCATTATTATTTATTCTTCTTCCTTTATAATAAAAAACTTTCGGGCTTCAAGTTTAGGCAGCCATGGTACACTTTGTCTCTGTTGCTTGTTCCCCCTCCCCTTAAGGTCGAAGGGGAAAAGAAACACCAAGTTTTCTCAACTCCACAGTATTCAGTCAGCCCACAGGAATATGCAAAATCCCTCTAACACTTTTCTTTTCTTTCTCTAGTTCTCTTTGTTCCGTATATTTGCAGCTTTGTAGTAACAGTGTTATAAAATATTTACTGTACAAAAATACAAAAAAACCCAGATACATAGCCTAAAACAGTTTTTTTTTCCTTGTGGTGAATTATTTTTTTTTTAAGAATGTCAGTTAATATTGTACTTTGCATTGTGTCTCTGGAAATATCTTTTTTTTCTTTTTTTTTATTGGTAGAAGGCCTCCATCGAACAAAATTAAAACCATAACCGGCATGACAATGTAAGGAGAGCTTCAATGGCACCTAAACAATAAATAAATAACAAAATCAACCTCATGAGGTCTGTCGGAGGCAGGTCTTGTGAAGTTAACACTGCCTGCTAGGCAGGATTTTCATTAAATCAAGCTTACAATGCCAATTTTGTCTTGAAGTCAATGCATGTATTACTGTTTGACAGTAAACCCAGCTATGCCATCATCAAGTCCAAGGCTGCGCAATAGTCTAATTAGTATCGAGTACATTTTCCTTTTATTTTTTCCAATAAAAAAGCAGTGGGATGAAAATTGCTTTGATATATAGCAGGTAACATTGAAGCTATTCCATAGCACTTAACTGTAGTGAATACTGTGTCACCAATTCTGAAATCAATTTAATGTTTAATGCAAATCCATTACATGGTGCTATTACAGGCTGGCAAAATGATTTACAAAAATGTGACAACTTGGGCTCAATTCACTCTGCTTTCCAACAATGTAAATGCATAGCAGTGTTTATCTGCATGAAAACTATGCACTAATCTATCTGAAAAAAAAAAAGAAAAGAATATATCAACTTTGGTATCTACTTTCCGTTTACTTCGATCCTTGCCTTTTTGGTCATTGTTATAATGCCAGCTTTAGGACAGAAAGAATTATAAGAAAACCAGCATAATACCTGATATATTAAAATGTAGTGCCTGTGAAATCTGTATTATATTGCTCTTCTGAAGTAAGATTTTTCTACACCGGTAGCCTTCGCTGTCTGTCAGAACCTTCTGATATAGGTGATGTAAAATAACCGTACAATATTAATGCATGCTATTCCATAATGCTTAGTAGCTGTATGAATATTACTCAAAGTTATGTTAGTCTTTTTTTCTGACTTGGTTCTTGTCAGATAGGTTTAAAGATATTTCACTGAGAACGCAAATTCTGTCTTTATTGATTTGGGGTGTTTTCAGTATTTTGGAGGTATACATTTACTTAAATTCAGTATTACTTGTGTTTTGGGTTTTTTTTCTTTTTTTTCTTTTTTTTTCCTTTTCTTTTTTTTTTTTTTTTTTCCCTAGAGGGCAGGACATGGTGTTTGAGACCAGAAATCCGTGCCTGGTAAGATTTTCGTCTCGAAAAGCTACCCTAAGAATTCAGAGAGCTTGCTCTGAAGAACAGTTCAAATTGAAAGGACAGTCCTTTAAACCCACAAACGAGACCGAGCTCATGTTGCGAGAGATTTCTTAATGGGCAGCGGTGAACCAGGTACCCATGCTTGACCCTTCTTCACACCAGACTTCCTCATATAGAAAGAAAAAACCCTTTAAAAAAAAAAAAGAAAAAAAGAAAAAAAAAACCTCATGTGGTTGTTTAGTTTCATGCACAGTTGCAATATTTTTCTTCAAACTCTGTACAAACTTTGGGCCCGATTCATAAAAGTTCCTTTGCTATTAACACGGGGAGGCTGGTGGGCTTTTCTCCTCCAAATTGAGGACAGGTTTCACCTTGGCACGTATGCCCGCTGGCTCTCCTCTCCCTCACGTTCCCCTCTCCGCCTCCCCAAACCCCATGGAGACCAGGAATGGATGGGAAGGGGTTGTGGAGGCGGTGAGGCAGCACAGGACCATGCTCCGAACGCCAGAGGTGCAGCTGGCAGGAGGAAAGGGGGACATGGGAGAGGACAGCTCCGTGCCGCACTCCGGCTGGTGCTGGGGGCTCGGGACACGGCAGTACGAGGAGACTTGATTACAAAAGAGATCTTGTCCCGTACCAGAACAAAATACGCTCGATCGCTACCTCTGAGCTCTAGAGAAACCCTCCATCGAGGCGAGCGCTTGTCCACAATGTGAACTTTTGTACTTTGTACGCCTTTTTTTTAGGGAAGACTATTTTCCACTTAGTTAATCTTCTATGCTCGAGCATGAACAAAAACAATTGTGTTGGGTGAAATCCCCCTCCCCTTTTATCTGCATCCACAAATTAATATGAGGGGAAAAAACAAAAGAAGATGAGTTTCTAGACGGAGCATGGTAGGGCGAGAGTGCCGACGATGCTTGTCCTTGTTGCCGGCGTCCCTGCTGCCTTGGGGAAAGGGCCACGAAATCCTTTTGAAATACAATCAAGGAGAAATCTCCATTTTGGCTGGCTGTGCGGGTTCTCCGCTCAGCCGAGCTCTGCTCTAGCCCTGCCCTGCTGCCTGGGATCGGCCCAGCCCAGTCCCTCAGCGGCGGTTTGAGATTTGGGGCGCTAAAATTTCCACCAGCCGTGTGAAAGATCTGCTGCAAATTCACTTGACACCCGTGTTAATACCATGTCGTGTTCATTTTTTTTATGAGTCAGGCCCCTCGTGCCTCTAGTATACTTGTATTGACTCTCATAGTTACCATTTTAGTTTTACTGTGTTCTGTGAAAAAAATTGTAATTGGTTGAGAATCACTGTGGGCATCCATTCTTATTCAACTAAGTCTCCGCAGGTTTTTTGAGCTGGTGTGGATTAGTTTAACTCTTGTATTCAACCATTAGTGCTACCACCTTCTCACATTACAATACAATTACTGGAAGCAAGTACTGCATTTCCTATGCAACAAAAAAGGAAAATAAAAAATTGCTAATGCTAACAGGCTGTGTTGTTATTTACTTCCAGCTGGGCACTGGGTGGGATGCGGCTGTAGGGCCGCGGGCATTGCTGCCGGTTGAGGCATCGACCTCTCCAGGTGGTTGGTACCAGCCCTCAGACCTGGGCAGGCTCCCAGGCAGCAGCTCCATCCCAAATGATGGGGATATTTGGTTAAATCGAGTCACTGTTGTCGCATCGACCATTCTTCCCTATGTTGTTGGTATCCCACCACACAGAATCGTTCCTTGCACAATAACGGATTAATGCTTGGCAAAACTTCGAAGATTAAATCATCCAAAGTAAAGACACGAAGCACTCCTAGGAAAGACCAGGGAGATTAATAAATGCTGCAAATGCTGCAATATATCTTCAAATTTAGCTAAACTAGAAAAATATGACCACATTTCCAAGGAGCCCTAGTACAGCTGTCAGCTACGCTTTGGCCGTGGCTGTTGGGGTTGACCTTGAAACCCAGAAGAGCTGCCCTTCTCTGCAAGACTCTTTGGGCAAAAATAGGAAAAAATTAGGTTTTACAAACTTTAAAGTTTCCTTCAAAGTTTTTCATTCTGCAACACCTGCTTAGAAGATATGTACAGAAATTAGTATTTTTAGAAAGAGTTTTTTTGCATTTATGCTATTCTGCCTGTTTTCTGCTTAAAAGAGATCACTGAGATGGGTGAGAGGCAAGGGCTGGTGCAGTTCTCTGCCACGTGGCCTCAGGGGACACAAGGCAGGGACCACCGTGATCCTCAGCCCTTCCTTGGGCAACACCAACTGCAGCACCAGCTCTTCCATTTTATTTGGGGGGAAATGAGTGTTTTGTAACAAATAGCTGCCTGACACTCATAAACTGCTGGTATTTCCTTTCTCACACCTCCACCGAGTTTTGGTTTTGGCTACAAGGCCAGGGTGGGAGGGTCAGACTGGGCACAGCTCTAATGTCACTGTCCCCAGGGGCCCCTCGCTGTGTCCTGGTCACTGCCTCAGACATGGGCCCTGCTGGCACCAATTCACAATGTGGCAGCTGAGGACAGCTTGGACCCTGTTCAACTTGGCTTTTTTTTCTCATAAAGGAGACTAGACAGTAAGGAAAAGCCAAATCTGTCCTCAAAGAAAACACAGTACCCCAGACAGGGGCTTGCCAGCAGCATTGCCCCTTTCACCCCTGCAAGCACTGGGAGGAAAGAGGCCGAAGGAGGCGGGGTGGAGGTGCTCAGCCTGTGCCCATTGCCCAAACTGGGCAGAAAATTTATCTTGAGGTTGCAAAAACAACCTAAATGATTGTGGTGTCCCTTTGGTTTGGAAGTGAGCCCAGGCATGGGCCAGCCTGCTCCTTGGTGCTGTGGGATCTGGATGCTTTCTTCAAGCAGTGGCCGTGATCACAGGAGGTGCAGGGATGGGTGGGAGGGATAGGGACCCACCACTGCACATCACTGCACAAATACACACAGAAAAATTAAAATTAAAATCTGCTTTTAAAAAAGTGCAGTGACAATACACAGGGAAGGTGTTGCCCATCACCACGTCTCCAACAGCTCCACGCCAGTGCCTGTTCCCTGTGCTCTCATCCACCGCCCCCCTACAAAAATCATTCACTATGATTTACTTATTCCCTTTATTATTGAGGGCATTGGCTGAGGCTGCCCTGGGTTTGGTGGAGGAACGAGGAGGGTGCAGGAGGGCAGCTGAATCCTGCCCCACACAGGTGACAGTTGTGCGGGGAGTGGAGCAAGCGCGGTCCAGGGCTTGGGGACCGTCTCCTGCTTTCCTCATACTTTTCTTTCACCTTTTCTTTCACTCCTACTTTCTCGCTTTCTCTTTCTTCCTGCAGGAGAAAAGGTCCCCATCAGCATCTAAGGAAATAAATCCCATTTATTATTTATCGCTATCAAAATGTGTCAGCCTGGCTCGGGACGCAGGAGGAATACGCAATAGCTGCTAACAGAAATCAAAAACTTGGAGTGGAAAAAGCACGGGGTAGGGTTTAGGCCGGGAAACGTGAGTGCTTCGCTCTGCTCAGAAGGAGACCTGGTTACTTAATTGCCTCCTTAAACGTAAATGTTCCTGTTGATGCATCAAGAACAGGACTCAGGAAATATTACCAAGGCGGTGGGTTTGTCCAACGTCTGCCGAAAACAAGCCAAGACTAGAAATATTTATTGGTTCACTACTTCAGCAACACACTATTAACTGCAGCTGCATGTTTTGATGGGCAGTTAGCACACAGGTATTGATGAAAATGGCACCACTTCATCTCAAAATTAACTGCTTGGCCATTCAGAAACTGGAGCTGATAAATTCTGGCAATAAATTTTGCCACAGAGATTTATACCATTGTAATTCGGGCCCACAGGCACACTGTGGTAGGGACAGGGACCACGATCAACACCACTCACCCCTCATCCATGGCTTTTTTAAATCCTTCCAGAAGTTTGGATCCAGGAGTTTCATGACCTTTTGGGTCAGATTTGGTGTTCCTTTGAAATCAATGATGCTCAGGGGCCAAGTAACACTCCATGCCACAGGCAACTGGAGGCATGGCCAAGTCTCGAGCAGCACGTGGGATGCTCTGAGCCACCTCCTCTTCCTCCAGATCAATGGAAACAGAGCACAGCTTTCCCCATTGGTGTTATTTTTATGGAGGCCATTGGCAAGGAGAGGAACCATCTGATAAACCATGCAGTCATCCTGCTTTCCCAAAAACCTTTGTGATACAGCGTCAGGCTGCTGGTGCTGCAAACTGGAAAGATCCAATTTCATTATTCTTTTTATTAACATTTGTTATTATCATCATCATCATCCTCTCGCTTGGCAGCGCTGCACCCAGTATGTATTTATTTACTTACTTATTTACTTATATCCTCTCTAGCCTCCCACAAGGCAAGGCAAAGCAAAGCATCGCTGCGGTTCAGGTCAGGCCCAAACCCACCCCTTTCTCCAGGGTTTTTCATTGTTTTGCAGGATTTGCTCTGGACTGGAGGCAATGTGGGGGCAGGGGCCGCAGCCCACCCTGTGCCACAGAAATATTCATCTGTGGAGGATGAACAGCAGCTCCCTGCCTTGGGCGGCGAAGAAATTGGAAAATGTTCCTATAAATGTGATTCATATGACACAGCACCTGCCTGCACATTGCATTATCCAAACCCATTAGGGTGAAGGAGATGCAGCCAACTATTTTGGGATATGGGGTTTAATTTTCCCCCACATTGTTCCTCATTTCCCCATAGAAATTTCATATTCCGTCTCCTTTTTTTCCCTTCCAACACTTTCAAAATTTTGCATATTGTTATTGGGTGGAAGAGGCCCAACTTGTAAAGAAACTTCAGCTGGATGTTGCATTTATAAATAAATGTGACAAATTTAATAGGGTAGGATAGGTATTTGAATTATTGATTGTTAAATATTTAAGCTGCAAGTCCCCATCCATCAGCATGTGTGAGAAGGCTCGGGGCAGATTTATGATGCTGGAGTTTTCCTGGTTAGCTGGCACTTGGCATTTCTATTAATTATAGCCCACACATTTGGGTTTTTTCAGGATTTGTTAGAAGTATTTATAAAAGATGTCCCTATTATACCATTTAAATATTGTTTGTGCAACTGGAACGTGTTTTCTATTGGGGATTAATGCACTGTTTGATTTAGAGGAAAATTAAATTAGAAGGTGTAAGTCTCAGGAGACAAATGCTATATTTGAGAAGGGTTTCCACCACTGCAAAGCACA